ATATTATCATCCCTATTTTACAAATAAGGAAATGAGGGCTAAGAGAGGTAGAGCAGCCAGCACAAAACCACGCTAATAACCTCTGGAAGTGAGTCCCCATCGCTGGTCACCCAGCTGAAATTTAAACTCAAGTCTGTTTGGCACCAAAGACCATGCCCTTTTCATAATGCTTCCTGAAGTTTAGGAGGCAGCATGGTATAGAAATGATGGTGGGTTTATCATTGGGTAGGCATAGGTTCAAACCCAAGCTCTCCCTTGTTCTGGTTATGTACGTGTCCTTGTATTCCTCTCTTCCTTGCTCCCTTGTCAAATGTTCATCAAAGTCTTCTTATATCCATATCAACCACTGAGCTGGGGATTGAGAACACACCTGTTAACTCCACAGTCCCTGCCCTCCCAGGGTGCCCAGTCTGGTGGATCATGCAGACCATGACATAAGCGATTACAATGCAGTTTGAGAAGTGCTATGATGGGGAAGCACCAGATGCTGCGGGATCACCTCTAGGTCACCTCTGTCCAGTACGGTAGCCACTAACCACAGGCCACCCTTGTAAGTATAAAATAAATGCTGAACTTTGAAGACCCAGTACAAAAAAATAATGTTAAGCACCTCACTAATAATGTTTTGTATTGATTGCATGTTGAAATGATAATTTTAGAATATGTTGAATTTAAAACTATTTTATTAAAATTAATTACACCTGTTCCTTTTTACCCTTGTATGTGGCTACCAGAAAATTGAACTTACACGTGTGGCTCACATTATACTTCTACTAGATAGCACTGCTCCAGAACAATAAAACAAGATGACATCTTAGTGCAATGATCAAAGAACATTTATCCTGTGACCTCCTTAGGAAGGCACACAAGAGACGCTTAACAAGTGGGAGTTTCTCTCCCTCTACACATCATTTTAGTGGCCACTGAAGGGAGGGTTGTTCATTGTGGGACCCTCAGTCCTCTGATGCTGTGGAGAAACTATCAGTTGACATGGCTGCAGGGCTTCTTGTTCAGCCCCCTTAAAGATTTCTTAGTCTTTGGGTCCTACATCTTGAGAGGTAGCTTTTGTAATCCTTCTCTGCATGCACCCCTTAAAAAAAACAAAACAAAAAAAACAAAACAGGGCTGGCAATCAGATGAAATAAATGTTGCTTGTTGCCATGGCGCCTAGCCATTTTTGCTTTTCCTTATTTTAGCAAAAGAAAGTCATATTAAATATCTGAATGAAGTCTGATTTTCAATACCTTCATTGGATTTAAAGGGACAAGAGTCCATTGGAATAATGATAAGGCCTTTTCTACCCACAAAATTCATAGAACTGGGAAGCGTCTTGGGAATTGATTAGTCTCACTCAGATACATCCTCCTCAGAAAGTGAGGTGCAGTGAGGCTTACAAGAGTCCATTGGAATAATGATAAGGCCTTTTCTACCCCAAAATTCATAGAACTGGGAAGAGTCTTGGGAATTGATTAGTCTCACTCAGATGCATCCTCCTCAGAAAGTGAGGTGCAGTGAGGCTTAAGGGGCTTGGCTAGGGTAACAGAGCCCACAAAATTCATAGAACTGGGAAGCGTCTTGGGAATTGATTAGTCTCACTCAGATACATCCTCCTCAGAAAGTGAGGTGCAGTGAGGCTTAAGGGGCTTGGCTAGGGTAACAGAGCCCACCAAGGTGGGTGTCTCTGATCCCCCCCATTCCACATGCACCTGCCACACCACACTGCCTGTTCTTTCCTGACATGCTCCTCCCTCCCAAAGCCTTCTCCTGTTCATACCTCATCCTCTCTGCTGCCTTCTATCTCTGACCTGGTGTCTTCCCTTTCTTGTAACAGGCAACAGAAACAAGAGTCAAAAAGATATAAATAAGTTAAAGGATGGACAGAAATAAGCAAGACAAAGTGGAACAGAAAAAAACAAAACAAAACCCAATTTTGAATAGACACCATTAAATGAAGCCAGAGAGACCTATCTTAGCTTTAAAAGTGGTGCAAGTAAAAAGGTAACAAGGGTGTGTTCGGAGGAGCATGAATGTGGACTCACAGGTACAGGGCTTGAGGACTGGCTGTTGGCCTTGGGAAAACTTTAGTTTCCTTGTCTTTAATCAATCTCAGTTGTGAGAAGCAAATAAGAGCATGTTTCTGAAAGGACATTGTCACTTTTGAAGCATCATACCAATCGTTGTTATTATCATTCATAAGAGGCCAGGAGGTTTTGGGGCTGTGAGAGCAAGATGTAGAAACAGGGTGATATGGGTGCAAAGAGAGCTAATGTGGTATCCAGAGCAAGGGATGCGGCTCTGCACTTGCCCATCATTTCTGGGGCACTGCACTGTGTTTAGTTCTGGAAATTGCATTATTGTTATTATCATTCATAAGAGGCCAGGAGGTTTTGGTGGCTGTGAGAGCAAGATGTAGAAACAGGGTGATATGGGTGCAAAGAGAGCTAATGTGGTATCCAGAGCAAGGGATGTGGCTCTGCACTTGCCCATCATTTCTGGGGCACTGCACTGTGTTTAGTTCTGGAAATTGCATTTAACAGGGACTTTGTCAGACAGTTGTTGTTCCAGAGAAAGACGCAAGACTAGCTTAGGGTTTGAGAGTCATGACATATAAGGGATGATTTAAGGATCTGGAATATGTTTAGTCTGGAGGGGAAAAAAAAAAAAAAGACAGCTAGAACAAGGTAGCTCTTTCCAAATATCTGAAAGCTGTTCTGCAGAAGAGGGAAGATTTATTCTGTGTGGCTAGTGGCAAAACCAGGGACCAATGATGGGAGTTAATGGGAGGCAGATTTGGGTGTAATAGGAGCCTATCTAAAGCTCAGAGAGCTGGCCCCAAATAGACTTCCTGGGACGGTAGTGAGCTGGCCATCAGGAGAAGTCTTCAAGCAAAAGTGGCTGCCTATGGGACAAGGTGCTATATAGGGGAGTCCTGCTCTGGATGAGAGGTCGGACCAGCTCTTCTCTGTGATCCCTCCAATTCTGAGACCACAACTCTCTCCTCTTCTGATCTCTCTCTGATCTGCTTCCCTCACCATTTCTAGTGCCTTTGTTGACTTTCTACTCCCTCTATGAATGGCTTTTGGGTTTCAGATTCAGAAATATTCCTGTAATAATTGATAGTTTGGTTTAATGGAAAGTAGAAGGGAGGAACGTTTAAAAACAAAGGCAGTTTTGTTACTTTGAAGGGCACACCATAACCTGTTAAATGGGGGAAGAAGCAGGAACATGGTCATATGTCTTAGAGAATCTTGTAAATACTGAGCAAATGAATGGACATTGCTTATTCTTAGCGATTGTTTAAAATGCAAACACAACTGCTAAAGCCTTTTGTTCTTGAACAGGTCAGCATTTTCCTTGTTTACACAATTCTTTTGTTAGCTACAGAGATTCAAGAAAATTCTCACTATAAGAATTCTGTATCACAAACTACTTTCGAGATTCATAATTTAAGTGCTTTGCTGATTTAATTATAGCAAATCCTACACAGAAGGTGTTTTCTTGATTTTTTGACTCCAGAAAAGCCATTTTCTTGAGGAAAATATTTTTCATGCATAGTTAGTGTTGCAGTTGAGGGAGTGAGAGGCTGGCGGAATCTCTGCAGTTGAGTGGGCAGCTGAGCTATTTTTCCAGGATCTTGTTCTGCCCCCAAGTAGTAATTATGCATCTGTCTTACTGTGTCCCACCTCAAACATCCCAACCATCATTTCGGAAACTTCCACCTAGACTCCGAGGCATAAAATAGAACTCAGCAGATCCAGGTGGAAGGAGGAAGGAATGGGTAGGAATGAGTAACATTTTGGTCAGGTTCCCTGAGGTCAGAGAATGACAGCAGGGACATAGAGAAGCCTGAGGATTCTGGCATGAGTTTCAGGGTTTTTGGAGCCTGTTGGTCAATTGTGGCAGGAAGAGCCTGCAGAGACAATAGTAATGGCTCTTCAAAGGGCTCTTCAAATCCAGGGGACTGGCCAGTCAGGCCAGCCTGGGCAGGGAGGTGGGAGGCTGAAGAGGCAGCAGAAGCCCAAAGGCATCTGCAAAGACCCACGGCCATCCTCTAAGCCCCTGTCCCATTGCAGGCCCAGTGCCGAGGCTGCTGTGCTGAGCTCACACCTCCTTGCCTAGCCCCACTTAGGTGACCTTGAACTCTTGGCTCAGGACAGCCTCAGCCTGGAGACCAGGGGTTGGATTTGTTCTCTGAGGGGAAGGATCAGCCAACTTTGGTGTGGAGTCCATGGCACAGAGAAGCACAAAAGGTTTCCCATTCGATCTTTCATTCCATACCTGCTCTTCACCAGGTCTCTTCTGTCTCAGAGTGCTCTTCTATAGGCTCTGGTTTCTGAGTTGTTCTGAAGCCCTGACTTATCTCTGTCCTCCTAATGTGGTCCTGCCCTCCCAGCAGAGTATAATGCAGTGGTTCTCAAACTTCTCTGGGTCCAAAGGTCCATCTATGGCCCCAGCTTAGAAAACATTAGATTTCAGACGCCTGCCCTCAGAGATCATGATTCAGGAGGCCTGGAGGGATCCAAGAATCTGGAGCCCGGGTGTTTCTTATGTAAGCAGTCCATGGTCATACTTGGAGAAATACTACTTTAGAGCAAAGAACACGATTTTGGGGGCATATGGGAAACAGGACTGGGTTACTTATTGTGTTACTTGTTGAGCAAATTAATTACCGTTTTGGGGTCTTCTGTCTCATAATCTATAAAATGCTCACCAATTCACAGGGGAGTTTTCAGGTGTCCATGAGATGATATACATAAAGTGTTTAGCTGGGGTATGTTCAACAAGGTTTTGACTTCCTCTCCTTTTTCAACACCAGGAAAGTGGCCACAGAGAGTCTCAATGCCTCCCAATCCTGGCATATCAGTGGCACCTTCTGGGCAGTGGGCAATGTGGAAAGGTTACAGAAGAGTCTGGAGGAGCACGCACATCCCCAATACTCCATGATTTATCAGGCAATTCTGATTTTTCAAACAATGGCATGAAAAGAAACCACCAAGAGGTCAGAGACTGGCCATCTGCTGTCATTTTTATTTGCAGTAAACCACAGAGTCAAGACATACACATACACAGTGAGTTACAGAACAAGTCCATGGCACCCTATGCACGCAGACAGGCAGGCTTGAGTGCACTCACTATTACAGAAGGACATACCTACGGGTGGGGGAGGCAGTGGAGGTGGAAGAGTGAGGAGGAAAGGGTCTGGACCCTGGCACTGTACCTCAGTCTTGGCTGGTAAGTCTGGATTTATGGGCCGCAGTTAGGTGTGTTAGGACCTTTAGCTTCAACCTGTGCCCAGGGTCACCCCCAAACACTGAAGTTTAGCTGAATTCCTTATGTGGGAGCAATGCTTTTCCATCATGGGATGGAATTCTCTCCCAACACACTGGCAATTACAGGTAAGAGAGATTTGAAACACAGAAGTGAAAGTGCTTACGTTTCAGGGTTTGGGTATGTGTGTGCGTGCATGCGTATGTGTACAAGTGGAGGGTTTACTAAAGAGTTTCTTTGTAGTGTTTCTTTCATGTTGGCTCCCCAATTCAGCTGATTTCTGAGCATGATCAGTTCTCAAGAGGGAAGGAAAGTAGATTCTTGGCTGAAGGGCTAGGAGTAGCCCTCCTGGGTTAGCAGGGCTGGGGGAAGCGTTGGGCCTGGTGGGAGACCCATGAGAACAAGGACCCTGCCTCCTATGGCTGCAGCGTTTACCCCAGATGAAGGCAAGATTGCTGAAGTGAGAAGGTCTTTAGAGCCTCCTTGTTTGACAAATAGAGAAAAAGAGCTCCCAGCAGGCTAAAGGACATGTCCAAGACCACATGGCTGAGACAGGGCTGTAGCCCACTTCCCATGTTGCTCTTTTTTTCCCAGGCAGGGTTTCATCCTCATCCCATTGTGGGACATGGAAGGACCTCTTCCACAGCAGTGTCTATGGAGCATTTGCCAGACTTTCCCAAGGTAGAAGGGTCTTACTTGTTTCTGCAGAGAGATAAAAGCATCCATCAGGGCCACCTCAGTACGTGGATCCTTGGGATTATAATCACTTGACAGCAATGACTCTTTCTCTGAGATACCCACCGAGTGTGGAGGTCAATGGCACAGAGAAGCACAAAAGGTTACTTCTTCCCATTTTATGGAAGAGGACAGCTGGGCTGTAAGCTGGGTCAGCAACTTGCTGTGAAGCCTCTTCTCTCTAGTTGGGTTGCCTGCCTTTTACCATCTGGAGAAGAAAGAAAGAAAATGCTGAAGGTTTTGAAATCTACTTCCTTGTCAGGTGACCTGCACAGCACACTAGACTGCACTGTCTCTATCAAGACTATAGACCACCTTGGCAGGTTAGCACAGAAAAGGGTCAACATCTGGAGCACCGGGCCTTGTCCAGGTGTACCCTTGGCTTGCCTCCTACCCAGGAGCCTGGGAAAATGGCTTTAGAGAGGAACTTGGTATATACTGATGGAGAAACCAGTGCAGAATGACTGCCATTCATATTTCAACTACAATCAACCACAATTTGTTATTCAGCTACGAGCACAGACATTGTGCTATGCTGGCTACCAATTTGGTGTGAAATGTTGGACTCTGTGACATCTAAGGAAGAGACTTTCCAACCTAGGGGGCTATGATTAAAGAACTCCCTGCTCAATGGACTTTTCATGTTAATTGAGATAGTCTATTAGAAATTGTGACTCCAGGAGGGTTACACTTGTGGTCTTTTGCTTATTTGTTTTGTTTTTGTTGATTTTATGGAAGCCAAACCCATTTAACTGCCTTGGCCTCTAGTCCCTTCTTGTTCCTAATTCTGTTGTTTTTACACTGAAACTAATATACTCCTCCCTGCTATAAAATGAGTGATGAACAGTGGTACAAGCAAGCCTGGGACATTCAACTAGGTCTTTATGGGTTAAACTTCCTCATAGCTCTATACCCACAAAGGTGCTTTATGTCCGTGATGTGACTCAAGAGGCAAAGAGAAAAAGGAGAGCAGTATTGAACAGAGGTGTTTAAGTTAGATACTGAGGACAATTTTTTATAGGAGAAGTTGTGAGACACTGGAGCACACCCTGAAATTGGGCTCTGGAGTATGTGCTCTGATCTTTCCTGTGCCTTTTAAGCACAGGTTTGCCTGCAGATAACAGAGTGGGCAGATGTCCCCTTACGACCCCATCTGATCCTCTGATCTGATGTACAAACATTCTAAATATAGAATCATGGTGGGGGGTGGAGTAAAGAGAAACCTCAGGAGAATAAAAGAAAGAAGAAAAAGTGGAAGCAGCAGACTCTGGGATGGGTAGAGGTTGAGAAAAGCAGACGTGGCGGGAAAAGATGGAGAAAAAGTAAGAGAACTGCATTAAACATATTAAGAGATTAGGGAACAGTGCCTGGCAAATAGACACTGTTTAAAAGCAAATATTTATTGGTGAATCAATGAGTTAAATGCATGAATAACCCCATCTATCCCCATTTTACATGTGGGAAAAGTGAGATGTAATATGACTTGTCCAAGACCCCACTGCTAGTTGGTGTCAGGGTAGAAACTGGAGTTGGCCCTGCGAAAGGAGAAGTCCACTGTTGAGCACAGGGACAAGAACTAATTTCCTGTGTGGGTAGGAAGGGCCTCAGGGCACAGCTGTGATGCTCAGGAAGGAGCAGGAGCAGGAGCACAGGCCGATTCTGTGTCTTCCCTGGCACTGCCTGGGAGCTGCCAGGCCTGGGGTAGCTGAGGCAGCAGAGGGGAGCACTCACTGCAGAGGGCCCCGGGGTCTGCCTGCTCCTGTTCCTTTCCTCAGTGGCAGGAGAAAAACAAAATCCTGACATAAATTGTCCCTTCTCTTCTTGGGAGCCATGTAAAATATCTACTGAATTAGGAGGTTGGGCTCATCACCTTTCCTCACTTCTTTCTCTCCTCACTTCTCTGAGTTTCCTCAGTGCAGATTCCAAAAGCTTTTCTCCTCCTTCAAGAAGATGGAGTCTGGAAATGGATGGGACTTCTCACCCAGTCAATTGGACACAGGATCAATTTCTTGCAGATGACTTTCCTTTGAGACCATCTGACAGATTTCCATAAATGTCCTCCCATCTATTTTGTCTCTTCCTCTGTCCTAGACCCTGATTGCAAACATCTTAGAATGGACACTTGCACTGGAGTCCTCTGAGACGCCACGGAGGCTTGGCCATCAGGTCCCATGTGATTTCTCTTGATGCTCCTCTGCGGTGACCCAGCACAGCATGGCCCCACCAGGGACAGCAGGCCAGCGAAGGGGCGGTACCGCCCTGAAGGGGCTCAGCACGTTCAAGTGAACTTTGTCTTTTGAATTCCTATTTCCCCAAGTTTTAATCACTGGGAAGGAGGAGGAAAAAATGTGCTTTCTCCTCCCTGCTATAAAATGACTGATGAACAGTGGTACAAGCGGACCTCTCTGTTCTGAGGAGAGAGAGAAGAGAAAAATCACATTGCCTAGACAGGGCAGACGCAAGTGTGCAGGACCCAGCCCGCCGTCCACTCTCCGTCTCTGGGAAGGCCTGCCAAGAGCTCTTATGTAAGCTCCAGGGAGCTCATGTGTTTTCATGCCCATCAGCAGATCCTGCGCTTTGGGGCCAGGGGTTAAGCTGGAGAAGGGAACTTTGAAGAGATTGTGTTCTTCAAAAGAAGAGGCGCTCTGGGAAGAGAACACGTTCCTACGGTGGGGATAATGAAAGCGATTTTCATCTTTGTGCCAGTCAACATAGACTTTCATTCCTCGTGGTGTCAATGTCAGGAGAGGAAAATGTGCTTGGTCTTAAGAACCCCACGGTATGTGGGAAGGGGTGGCTGGAGGTGGGGGTGTTTAATGAGGCAAAGGTATGTAGATGTGCACTTGGGGTATGGATAAGAAAGCTTTTCCTCCTGATGTGTGGGAAGTCAGATGGTGCCCAGTCAGGTCCGCCCTTCACAGGCTGGGATCAGGCCTTGGTTGAGGATCGGGTCTCGGTTTCTAATTGTTGCCACTGCCTATGCTGTGCTTAAATGGGAAGTTCATTTCATTCATTGACTGAGACAGGGCAGAATATTCTGGAGCCTGTTGTCATTCGTTTTATCTGCTTCCCTTTCATTTGGCAGAATCACTGAGCTGGTAGACTTTTGCAAGCAAACTAACCGACCACCTTGCCCACCATCTTGTCCAGAACATCTGCAGTCAGCCCATCCTGATCCCAGCAGCCAAGCACAGAGCAAGTGGAATGATACCTGCTTTCCTTACACTTTGCCTATTGAAAATTATCTCACCCTGTGTAAGTGAGCCAACGCTTTTCAACCAGGCTTCTCAGATGTTCTCTCAGGGGTTGACACACTTCCCGTTCAGTTATGCCCTAGTGGAGGGGGACGATCTGTCTCTACGACTTAGCAGCTTACCCCAGCCTAGCTTCATATTCTTCCCGTGATGGGAGCAATAACTGCAACTGTTTTTTATATGAATAAATGAATCGGCAGATAAGATGTTCTATTTTTTTCCTTGTTTAAAATAATATTGTGCCTAGCCTCTCTGTAACTATTGAAGCTTTAAGCAATTTTTATTTCAGAAATAAGAACGTACTTTTTTCAGGTGAATTTCTAAACTCCTCTAAGTATTCTGCATTTTCTCTCTGGCATCATTAGAGCTTATAACACTTCCCCATTTAGTGTCTTTTGAGAATTAAGTTAATGTGCTGTTTACTTTCCTCTTTCCAGATCAATCAGGAATGTTTTGAACACAGCTAAGACCCAAAGAACTTTCTCCCCATGAGTGACTGAGTGATGTCCTGATGAACTTGTATTTGGGCAACTTCTGGATTCAGTCAGTTGAGAAATGATGGAGCTCATATGCAGAATGCCTTGAAATCACCCTCCAGCAATGCGGATGATACACACAACCTTTAAAACTTAAGAAAGGCCCCCCATGATGATGTATGCTTAACTATTCTGGCGTGAGATGTCATGATACCTATAATTTACTGTAAAAAATTTCAGCAAAAAAAAAAAAAGATGAAGCAGATATGGCAAAAAGTTAGCAATTGTTAAATCTAAGTGATGGGTACGTGGTTGCTCATTATACTCATGGCTCTACTTTTCCGTATGTTTGAACATTTTCATAGTAAAAATAAATTACTTCCAAATGCTCTAATTTCAGGAAGTATAGTTAACTTGTGAGGTATTCAGGGGGTGACAGGGAGTGGATAGGAGCTGGGAATTGCTTAATCCTCTTAGGTTTATCATCATTACCTTAATGCCTGGTAGAAGCAGAGTATGACGACAGCAAACCTCGAAGTGACACCCTCTATCATTAACACCCTCCATGCATGTATGGTTCTCTGAGTTGAAAGATCTAGTTCTCAATCCTTTTACCTCAAGGATGTTGGGGAGAGAGGAAATATTCACCAGGAAAACTTTTCTTGAAGATCATACCATTTTCTGGTAACCAGTTGGTACCAGTTGTCTTAAAAAAAATAAAAAGACAAAAAATATATATTTATTAATTACTTCGGAAGTTCTGTCATTTAGCCCCTCAACAGACTTTCTTGGAATCTTCTGGATTGCCATGTATATTGTGGGGTTTTAAAATTCATTTCCTTTTCTATTTTCTAAGGTAAAAAAATTACCATTTTTATTTTCCCTCTCTTTGTAATTCTTCCTAAGATTCCATGGTAAAAAGAATTATTGGTAAGGAAAAAAAGTTCAATTTGGTATGCATCACTCTGGAGGCTGTCTTTTTTATCCCGAATTATGATTCACCCAACAGATTTTCAAAAGGACACATCTAATCTCCATTCCACCTTTATTTATCAGTTACTAAATTCTGATGTTTGATTACCTTATTTCTCTTGTCCCGATCTTTATTATGTTCTCTGTGTATCTTTTCATATGATCTTTAATACTGCATGAACACTCTGATCTGGTGTTTATTGTTGGCATTTCTTCTCCGAGAAGTGTCTTAAGATATAGCCCAGCTGGTGCCTGGGTATGAGGACCTGGGGAGAGGGAGGAGGAGAGAGTGTACACAGGCCTCCTGCTGCCCAGCTCTGCCCCTCTCCTTGGTGTGGCCCTCCACCAAAACATACAGATGCTATCTTCCACTCCAGCTCTGGGAGAGGGAGGACAGGGATTTGGTGTTTAGTTTGAGAAAAAAGTAAGTTGGACACAGGCGATTGGTTTTTGTGTAGTAAATCTCAGTCACCATGCTTGAAGCTCAGGGTAATGGCACTGCAAGCACGGATGTGGGCTTTGAAGGCAAATACTGACAGATCTGAATCCTGGATCTGCCAGTATGAGATTTGCTTTGCTTTCTCAGTTTCCTCATTGGTCAAATGGGGAACGATGTAGCCCAACTAACTTCATATTGGACTAGATAATAAATGATAGTTGTTACTTAATAATGATTTCATGAATACCTGGATATTTCTGTCTTACCATTAACTCAACTTTAAGCTTTTTCTTATTTTTTAAGGATTTCTCAGTTCTTTCTTCCTTTTTTGAACTGTAGTGTTTATGCTCATCTCCCTTGCCCAAATCAATCTGCTAAAAAATTCAGTTCTCTTTTTTCATCTCATGAATCTGTATCTTATTATGCTGATCTCTTACTGTGTTGTAAATCCACTTCTGTGCTGCCCTTTTATTCTTTGTCAATTCTGACCCGATTTCTAAGAAGTGGATTGCAAATATTTCTGTCATTCAGTCCAAGCTGAATTTCATATTTTCTGAATCATGAAGCTGCCCTCCATGTGACCTAGAAAGCCCTTTGATGATCCATATTTAGCTGTATCCATCACTCAACAGATGTCTGTGTAAAGGCCCCATGAGCTCCCTCTACATCCTGTGGTTTCAAGTTCCTGAGTTGTTAGTTAAAAAGGTTTCATCCTCTGTCCCCCACTCATTCCAAGGTAGAAGGACAGATACCCACTTTGGCTATTCATTCATTTGTTCATTTAATAAATACTTAATCATTATCTACTACATGCTTGGTACTGGGTTAGATGTTATCTTCTTTGCCTTCAAATTGCATTTTCCTAATCTGACTATTTAGAGTAGTCCTCCCTATTTTCCAATTATTCCTATAGAATCTGCATTGAGCATCTTATTAAATGGTTTCTTCTATCTGCAGTGTTTCCTGACCCTTGTAAGACTTGGAGGCTTAGTTGCAAACTCCAATGCCTTGCTATAATGCACCTGCTATTGTATACATAGATTTTAGGACAACATACGTTCATCAGGGCTCTATCTAAGGCGGTTTCATTGGCAGATGAGGCTGCAGGATTCTGCTTGTTTTACTGCACCATGGACATGAAGAATGAAGCGTTAGCAAGGGTAAAATGCCCAGCAAGTTAAGTAGCTAATTTCCAAAATCCCTTGGGTTTTTCTGTCCCTAATTTCCCACAGAGATGCCCAGGAGGAAAGATGCTTCTCTGCTTTTTGAGCTCTCTGGATCTTCCCATTAGATAGCATCTCTTGGCATCTGAAAGGCAGCCTGCCATTCTGTTCTCCTGTGGAACACAGATGGTCCAGCCCACGCCTATCACTAATAAGGATCACATGCAGAGCCTCCTTGTTGGAGGCATCCTTCACCAACCCCAGTGCTCCTTCCCTGTACTGGCTGGTCACTGCTGACCATAGCATTAAAATCTGAGAAGGCTGTTTGCTACTCTCCCCCTCACAGAGCTGAACAAAAAACCCAGTAGGTAGGCCCTGGGAAATGAGCCCCATCCAGCTAGAGTGTGAAGACATTGAGGATTAAGGGATGGATGCCAATTTGACTGCAAGGGTGAGATTTTGGGATCCAGCTGTCCATGGATGCTGTGGAGTTTAAATATGAACAAGCACTGGGAGTTCTTCAGTAGAAACATGATTAGATGGCTATAAAGAAGTAGAATAGATAGGACATCAATTTGTTAATGCCATGTAATTTCACTTAGGATGCTAGTAGGGTTAGGAACAATTAGATAAGAATGTTAAAGATGCTAAAATATAGTAGGAAAAGTATAGATTTTTATGCCAGGCAGACCTGTGTCAAGTTCTAGTCCTACCATTTGCTATCTGTTGGACAAGGTACTTCACTTTTCTGTGCACTAATTCCTTTATCTATGAAATAAGAACAATGCTCACATCTGAGGCTGTTCTGAGGATTAAAAGGGATAGCACATTAAAAAGACCTTGACATAGTGCTTTGCACCTAGTAAGCGGTGAATGGTAATTGCTTTCTTATCTCCCTTTCCTGTTTTCTCCCTATAGTAGAAAGTTGAAAGATGCACACCAACATAACTGTGTTTTTTAGACCTTGTTCTGTTCTCTGGAGCTATACAGATGAAATCTGACCCTTGCCAGCTATCATGTCTTCCCTTTAATTTTTTCCCTTTAATGTTAGCATTTCCCTTCCTTTAATGTTAGCATTAGGCACCACCCACCTGGGAGTGTTGAGGTACAAGCCTGTGATATAGGGAATTGGAGAGTCTAGATCCCTCCCATCCCTCCCATCCCCATGGTTCTATTTTTATGGATCCCAGTGTGGTAGTGTTGCATGAAAGGCACAGCCTAGCTGGGACAGGAGGTAACTGAGAGCTTTGGCCAAGAGGAGAGGGGGCTAGAGATGGGAAAAGTTGATGCAATTATTTTTGGCAGGAGTTGGAACCAAAGCAGCAAGAGAGAGTAAGTTTTAAGACTCCCTGGCAAAGTAACTTCCTAATCTGTCACTGAGCATGTGTAAAAAAGTGATTAGTGGGTCTCTATATTTATCATGATTACTCACAAATATGTAATTTACATAATATATACAGCACATTAAGTACTATGTCACCTTATATAATGTGCATATGTATAATGTATATGCATGTTATGTAACGCCAGTCTGGAGGCTCTTCTAGGTTCTGCCAAGTATTTCTTAATTTATTTGGCAATTTTAACATATCTTTTCCATCTGTGGAAAGAATTCTCTTGAGAGAAGCTGTCTCTGACCTGAATATAATCATCGTACTAAGTCTATCTCCACTCTCAATTCACTAGGGAAACCCCACAAAGACCAAGCCATAATGAGATGCATCTCTTAGCCTATCATCCCAGGGACAACACAATGTACTGAAGATTTCCTGTTTTATTGTTTTTATTGTTAGTGGGGTATAAGCATGTGAGCGAGTGGGAACCTGTCTGTAGCATGGTCAGAAACAGAATAAGACAAGAAATAAAGGACTGGTTTCTGCCCTGACTATCTAAGTGTGGCTTTGAGAAGTCATTCGACCTCATTAAGACTTGTTCTCCTTATTAGGATTGGGATAATATTACTTTCTTTGCTAACCTCAGAAGTTGCTGTGAGGATCACTATGATGAGGTATGACAGTAAGAAACCACAGTCACAGTGTTTAAAGGATGATTTGCAAGGTTAGGTGAAACAACACACAAGACTTACTAAGGTTACCAAATCAGAAGTGCAATTCAACTGAAGTTTGTTACACTCTGTGCTCCCAAGGAGGACCTGGGGTATGTCTCTCAAGCAACATTGCAAGTCCTATGCATTAAGGTAGAGTGGGTAGGGGCCAGTCTCTGCACAGCTCTTTTCTGAGACTTGTGAGTCTCTGAGAATCATTTTCACCTGTTGATGGTGCAGCATCTCAACGACCTCAATCTTGGGGATCGGGGCTGAAACACATGCAAGACCTTCTTTAAATGTCTTAGAAACAGTGACCCCCAAACCTGAACCTGCCTCAGTTTAGAATCAAGTGGCTTCCAAGATAGTACCTGTAGTCATTCTGGAGCTTGTTGGTCCTATCACCAAGGGTCCCATCATCAAGGATATTCTTCAGGTGGCCTGTTTTTCCCCTTGCCCAGAATGCTGCACTGTTAGGTCGAGCAGGGTAGTCCCAGATCTCAGTCTTAGATGGTCCCACATGACGGCTTCCTTCAGAGTTAGGCTCAATTTGTACACAAAATCTTAATAGCTCCTGGCCCCATGTAAAGAAATTAGAGGCAGCTCAGTGGAGCGATGTCAAGTGGGCCCAGGTTTGCTTTTGAGAAATCTCAAGGTGGGGTGGGGGGTGGCCCAAGTGAGCAAAGTGGCTGAGGCAAACGTTGCTTTCTACCAATGAAGCTCTGCACAGACTTGCCCTTCGGAAGGGAGGGGAATGCTGGCACCAGCTGAATGAAGCCCACTGAGCTCTGCTGAACCCCTCTGTCCTGGCTCACAGCACCTTGCAGAAGGTGCTTCCTTGTGACTCTCCACTGAGTTCATCCCTGCAGCCAGCGGTGTTTCCAAACTATGAGACTCTAATGACCATGCTGAGGTGACATGTGGAGAGTTCAATTTGATGATCTGTCTAGTGTCTTCAACTTTGACCAACTTCTCTCCAGTTCAGGACAGAGAGGACCTCTGGGAACCCTCACAAGGCCTTCATTTTCTCCTGCGGGCTTGTCCATGCTCGTGCTGCACATTCATTCCTCCCTTGCAACGGGGCTCCAGGTAGGATCACTTCTCAGTGACCAGAAATTACCGCATTCCAAGATGTGTGAGTTCTTTTCTATTAAATGTCTTCTTAGTTGCACTTACTTTCAAACCACATTAGCCAAGATACCATGGAAAAATCTCTTAAATTCTCTGAGACTCAGTTTTCTTATTGACAAATGGGAGAGTAAATCCTGCCCAGCATATTTTTCATGATTGTTTTAAGATTCAGCAGAGGTGTTTTCAGTCTCTTCATGATAAGGAGCTACTTTCATTTCCCTTAAACCTTATGATTAACACAGGGAAATGTATTTTGACAATAAAATGGTGGAGTGGGGGAGTAGGAACCTTCTTTTTCTTTCTACTTTCTGTTCCCATACTACCTATGTTTTTTTCCAATCAGGAAAAGCCCATCAGTAAATAAATATTTATACATATATATAAATATGTATGCTACATATATACACACATGTGTAAGACCATCAGAAGGTCCTTCAGGTCATACTCCAGAAGTGGTAAGTACAAAGAAGCAATAGGGACCAGCCTGAAGGTGTGTCTCCTGGTTTCCCAGCAAAGTCCCTTCCCTCCCATACTCTCTGCCTTTGGGAATAGTCTGTCACCAGGGCTTGAAACTCGAACAGGAAACACACTTTGGCTTGAAAAAGAGAGAAGCTGGGGGTGGTTTTTCTTCCCTTTTTACACAATATTATGACACCAATTTGAAAAATAAATCCCAGTTTCTCCACTTTCCCTCCCAGGTGTTCACAGAACTAAGAAAATAAATACCACATCTAAGGTGTGCTGCGCAGGCAGCTCTGGGGGCTCTTGGAGCCGTCTCTAAACAAACACAGCCACCAGAAGAAGGCTTTGGGGAAAATCACAAGTGCCCACTGACAGCGCAGAGAAATGAGTGTGGAAACATAGCTTTCCACAGCCTTTCTGCCTCCTCAGCAAGTTCAGAGAAAAGTTGTCGCTCAAAGGACAACCAAGAAACCAACGTGCGCTTGCGGAGCCCTGCCAAGGATTATGCTCTGAGAGCTGGAGGCGGTTTTGTCTCTGTACAGAGGGACCTTTGTGCGAGTTCTCTGGAACCAGAGTTCTTTCCTTGGCCACATCCGATCTCACCATAGGCAGGAAACCTGCTCGTTGTGAGTGTCCATAAGGAAACTTGCAGGCCTGGTGGAAAGAAAGGCGGATTTCTCCTTTAGTCTCAGAGAGGTCTACTCCAGGCCTGTGGGAACGTGGGGGTTGCTGCATGAGCCAACCACACCCTGGTGGGCCCTAAGTCCATTCAAAATGTTTTATTGGCACTGGCTCTGTTAGGGGCATATTCACTATTGAAATAGATTGTATGGCACGGTAAAGTTTTCTTCCTGAAGGGTAGCTTTACTTCCACTGGTTAGAGAAGAGTGTGTGTGTATGTGTGTGTAAATGTGTGTGTGTGAGTGTGTAGTTACAGTTTCTTGTTTTCTTTCTTGTTTTAGTTGGCGTTTGGCACACTGTTTAGTCTTTTGAACGGCTCTTCCTCCTCAGCGAAAAGAAGCTGCCCTTCTGGGGAGGTCCCATCATCATGGGTGCTTGGTTCTTGTGAGTAATTTTAATCTAAAAGCAAACAGGCAGAAATGAATTAGTGGCATGCAAATCTTGGTAGCCTAAGGGAGAGTGTTGCAGAGAGAGGAAAGAAAGCCAGCTTTGGGTTGGAAGGAGCCCCATGCAGAAGGACAACTGTCCTTGAACAGCTTAAAAATTGGCATCTTGACCCTGACTGGGCCTGGAGTTTGGCACTGCTGGAAGTGAGGGGCGGAAACACTGGGGCGAGACAGGTGTGAGCTTCCCACGTGGTGATCAGCTGGCACTTGTCCTGTGTCCTTGCTATTCATAGACTCTCAGAATGTCACTGCCAGAGGAGACCTCTGGGACCTTCTCATTCAACCCCTCTGCAGGACAGATGAAGGAATGGGAGCCCAAGGCACCACTAGGCCTTAGATTACCCTAAAATCACACAGAGAGGGCAGAACTGCTAGAGCCCAATTCTTCAGGTTTCTGGCCTCCCTTACTCCTGACCATGCCTGCCCAGGCAGTGCAGAGATGTCACCAGTTGACCCAGAGGCTTCAGTCTGACATCTGACCAAACAACATCATGTGGAGAGTTCCCAAGTGAGTCCCTTAGACGTTTCCTCTTTTCTTAGCCTTCCAGGGAAGATCTTACTTTCTTTTAAAATCATTTTTTTTTTAAATTTTAGGGTTTATAAGTGTTTTTTCCTGTAAACTTTAAGTCAATTGGAAGTGAAGGATATGGATGAATTCTCATTTTTGTCTTTCTTCCCAAACTTATTCTCAGGGCATGGCTTCAAAATGCTTAATCCCTATTCGAATGTGGTCTTGTGACACTGCCACCTTAATAACCTACATTATCAGTCTATCAACAATATTTATCAAGTATGACACATTCACAGTAGGAAGATGGTGTGGAAACAGGAGGCACTTAGGATTCAAAGACCTGGGTTTGGGTCCCAGGACTTCTGCTTCTTTGCTGTGAAACTTTGGAAAAAATCATTTAACTTTTAGAGCCAGGGCTTGCTGAACTGTAAAATGAGGATAATAACATTTGTCCTATTTTTCTCACAAAGATCAAAAAATACATCAGTGAAAGCCCATCGTAAACTATAAAATGGAAAGTAATGGTTAGTTAGATACTTGACTTATATTGGGGGAGAAAAAGAAAGATGGACGTCAAAAGAAACAGAATCTATGAACCCATTCTCATGGTTTTTACCACATTATTGAAAATGACAGTGTGACCACAGAAGAACTCTAAAAGGGAGAGACCCATCGACAAGTTAAAATTAATGTAGGATCTACCAAAGTGGTGCCAAAAGAAGTTATGTAAGGAATGAGAAGTCTCATGAAGCAATTAGGGAAGAATTTCAAGATTTGAAGGATAGAAAAGAAATGTGTTGCTGAAAAGAGAAGGAGAAGGCACCGGGTAGAGGAGTGTGGGGTGAAGGATGAGAAATGTGGGCAGGGATGCAGGTGGGGCAGTTGGTGTAGAGCTTTAAAGGGGAGGTGGCAAGACTGCATCTATGTGAGATAATAAGGAACCATGAGAGATGACCTTTCCAGCTGGAGAATAACGTGATGAAAAAAGAGTTTGAGGGAAATTATTCAACAGCTGCTGTCACGGTGAGCTGGAGTGGAAGCTTCTGGCTAAGAGGGCACTACAGTAAGCCAGCTTTTATATTTATAAGGCTCCAGGAAATGGAAAGAAAAAGATGAAAGCAAAATACATTGTGGATAATTAGCATAGCCTGGTGATGGAAGCTGAAAAGGACCCTTATACTGGCTTTGGTCAGCCTGGAGATCTAGAAGGGGAAAGGTAGTTACCAGAAGAGCAACCTGAGAATACATCAAGTACCATCTTGTGTTGTGTGTCTCATTGTAGGCGTCATGTTTATTCCAGAATTCATGGAAGTGAAGCATAGACTGGAGACTCTGACAGCACTTATCTGTGGCATGCAATTTAGCATTCTCTGATGATAGTGATTTGTGGCACATTCCCTTGTGGTAAACCTTCCCTCACTCCTGAGCTCATGTGTCCCTTGAGGGGAAGGACTGTAGCTTATTCACCATAGTATTCCTTGAGCCAGTGTGGTGCCCATTCAGAGTACATGTACTGACTAATGAGCACAACCAAGAAGAAAGAGAACACATCGTGGCAGTGGAGAGGGCTATGTTGGGGGTACAGGGCGGCAGCTGGTGCACTACCTACATTTCTCGCTGATGGAGCCCATTTTTTTATTGAGCCAGTGTGGTGCCCATTCAGAGTACATGTACTGACTAATGAGCACAACCAAGAAGAAAGAGAACACATCCTGGCAGTGGAGAGGGCTATGTTTGGGGTACAGGGCGGCAGCTGGTGCACTACCTACATTTCTCGCTGATGGAGCCCATTTTTTTAGACATAGAAGACCTTAGCTTCTCTTTTTTCTCCCTCTAGCTGAGCAATTTATTTGCTTTTTAGCACCTCCAGGGAAAAGAAGAGGAAGTGAAACTCAAATCCCTTCCCATTTGGTTTTTCAGCAGTTTTGACAAAGGTCTTGATAGGGTAGGAGTTTGGAGCTCCTGGGTAACATGATATTTTGGTCAGCTCTGTGAATTCTATTACTACAGATAACTGAGGGAAGTATGAGTTCATATCCTCACTTTGAGTCAAAGAGATGTCAGTCCTCTACCTCCAAATTAGGAGGGGCTAGTGGGTAAAATAAAAATCCCATTTTAGGAGATAGTAGGATGTGGCTAAACTATCCTTTCAACCCCTGATAGAAAGAGAGCATCCCACGTGCCTGTAGTTGAAACCCAAACTTCCCTGGTAATTGAGCAGGTCAGGCATTTAACCAAAGTCTCCATGATTTTCTTAAAAACCATTCTTTACACTCACAACACCTGGAAAGCACTAAGGACAGCAGCCCCATGTTGTTAGTTTTCTGCACTCATTACAGAGAGAATTGGTACAGTAGACTCTTGTGTAATAGTTCAAAATTCACGAAACTACTGCAGCACATAATTTTCTCTTTGAAATGTAATAAAATTTTAAACTTCATGAGTACTGGGGCTTGACTTTGTTTGGGGGGCCATTTTCTGGGAATCAACACATTTTTATTACTTCAAGAGAAGCAATATACTGAAAGACTTCTTCCTGAACGTTGTCCTCTCAGGACGAATGATTCAGATCATGCCTACTAAAGCGGTCAATAACTGTAAGTGTGAACCCTCCCCGAATCACTTGGGAAGTGTCCAAGGTCTGCTCTAATTTTACCTGGAGATAAGTAGAAAGGTACAAACATGAAAGATCTCAAATAGTCTTAAAAAGTTAAGGAAATATTCCTTAAAAAATATCTTAAAAAGTTAAGGAAACATTCCTGCTTAAAGTGAGGCTAAGGGAGGAGGAGAGGATTTGCATAATCTTTCAGGTCTTAGCTATTTCTGGGTTCTCCAAGATTTTAGCATGTCCTGCTTCATGGGAATGTTTTCTGCTTTCAGAGGTCTTCAAATGTAGTTGGACAATCAGGATTTGCAAGGGGTGGAAAAGTGCGGGATTTATTGGTAAGTCAGAAAATTCGACTATAGTATTGGTTCTCAATGTGTGGTACCTAGACGAGCAGTTTCAGCTTGGAACTTGTTAGAAATGAAGATTCGCAGGCATCCAGATCCACTGAATCAGCAAATCTGGGATATGGCCCACCAAAATATATTCGTGTTCTAAAACCCGTCCAGGTTATTCGGATGCATACCCAAGTTTGGGACTCACTAGGCTAGATAACTAGGATCACTGTCAACTTTGAGATTCTACTATCTAACTCTGGGAGAAGAAGATTCTGAATTTTGAGGCTCAAATTATGCCATCTAACTGTGATAGTGAAGCATGAGAGATCATCTTATATACATATGTTTCTATGTATAAACAAATAATGCTCGCTTTTAAGAATTTAGAAAACATGGGAAAAAATTAAAAATCACATAGAGGTAATAACCGCTAACTTTTTGGCATATTGCTTTCCATTTGTTTCTATGCTCATGTATTTGTAATAAAATTGAAATTGGCTTCTTACTCTGCTGTTTTCATTTAACATTATTTCACAAGCATTTCTGGTGTCATTAAATGTTTGTTAGATATGATTTTCAATGGCTGGAAATGATTCCATTTGATGAATCCCACTTAGCTTATTGAATCCCTTCCCTAAATGTTGGGCTTTTAGGTAATTTCCAATTTATTGCCATGATGGGTAACGTAGAAACTGACATTCTTATATATCAGTCTCTGTATTCAATAATCTGTATTTTACATAGAATAAATTCCTAGAAGTATATAAACAATTTTTAAGGGTGAAAGTAAATGAGCTGGATCAATTTATATTAATATTTGTAATGTTTCTTCCTGATACATGGCTCCAGATGCTTTCCAGACTGGCTGTACCAGATTATACTTTTGCCTCACTGCATGAGTGTGCTGGCCGCACCACACCCTTGACAGCAATGAATATTATCTTTAAACAAAGAAATAAAGAAACAAACAAAACTGTGCTAATTGGTAAGTGAAACATGGCATAGCATTTGCTGTTTTAACTTAAAAACCTTTCCTTCCTTTTTTTAAACTTGTGATATTAAATATTTCATAGGTTTATTAGTGCATGGCATTTCTTCTATGAACTGCCTGTTCACGATTACATTGATAGTATTTTTTTCCTGCTGTATTCTAAAAGCTGGTTTCTTCATACCTCATAGGAATTAACCTGCTGTTTGAGATAGCTACTGCAAACACCTTGGCCTTGGCCTTTTACATATCTATATTGATTCTTGACTTGTAGAATCTAAAATTGGTTACTAGTCAAATATGTCACTTTTTGTTTAGAAAGTCCCTGTCCACAGTGTAATTATAATCATCTATTTTTTCCTGTAGCTAGTAACATTTAATTCTTTGACTGAATTGAAGTTGTTTTTTTGTTTGTTTTTTGGAATATAGTTTGAGGTAAGAGAGGAAGGTACATAATGACATACAGACAATTTCTTGGATAGCATATGTTGAACAGTCCATCTCCTTCTAA